TGAAGAGCATATTTCCTCATACTCTGCAAGAGATTTCTTTGAATACCCTTTCATCATTTGCAATTGTGCCCTTGGAAGTTTTAGCAATATTTGCTTCAAAGAAGTTTGTTTTTGTATGATTGATTGAAATCTCAAGCTGCAATTAAGAAAATTGCAGCAAGAACCATTAAAGGGATAGCGTCATTTTCTCCCCTTTCCACTAAAATGTCAGGTTTCAATGTCACCGCAAGATAACCCAATCGCATGCTTGTACACCGTTCACCCGGGCTGGAGTAAGCATAAAACCGTCTGGAGTACTAATTACAAATGACTAGAAATAATGACACGTGGCAGAAGGAAAACGGAAGGGCCCGGTCCTTATTACTTAATCGCCGAGGTGTATATGCGCAGTAATGCAGGTTATTGTGAAGCAGTCTATTTAGTAAATATACAAACATCCATCCCCACTTGTAGATTAGCCTCAGTCCCTCCCCCATCTCCCTCTGTCTCTCTGCCCTTTCTTTCTCTCCAATTATAAACCAGCACCAGGTTTTCTCATCAGCCATCTCCATGTCTCCAAATGGCTTTTCAGTGTCAGGCCTATCAGGAAATTAACTCATCATGCAGTGACAGCTGCTAATTTTTTCCCCTTACATGTCAGATGGATCGCCTGCTGAAGCTAATAATGAATCACCAATCCCTGATTAGACGGTGCTTCCGAAACATATAACTGCCATCTGAGCTAACTTTTTTCTTCATATAAAATGATATCACCCTAGAGGAGTAGAAAACGAATTGTATTCTTCAACAAGATGGAACAGGGGTAGGCTGTTTAAGTGAGCTGTGTGCTATCTTAAATTATGGGCTAATATTGCACAGTAAAATAAGTGAAAACTCACAGCTCTTTTTTATTTTGCCAAATGAACGACCTTCTTTCTGTTACTTAATCCTCTCACTAGAACTAACTTTTTTTCTGTGCTGGTTTTGGCTGGGGTGGAGTTAATTTTCTTCATAGTAGTTAGCATGGGGTGATGTTTTGGATTTGTGCTGGAAACAGTGATGATAATTGTCCTGGTTTTGGCTGGGATAGAGTTAATTTTCTCCCTAGTAGCTGGTACAGTGCTGTGTTTTGGATTTAGGGTGAGAACAATGTTGATAACACACCGATGTTTTAGTTGTTGCTAGGTAGTGCTTACCCTAGCCAAGGACATTTCAGCTTCCCATGCTCTACCGACTGAGAAGGCTGGAGGTGCACAAGAAGCTGGGAGGGGGCACAGCCAGGACAGCTGACCCAAACTGGCCCAAGGGACATTCCATACCATGTGACGTCATGCTCAGTACATAAACTGGGGGAAGCTGGCGGGGGGGCCGCTGCTCAGGGACTGGCTGGGCATCGGTTGGCGGGTGGCGAGCAATTGCACTGTGCATCACTTGCTTTGTATATTTTATTATACATATATAATATATATAACATATCTATTATATATAATAGATATACATAGATAATATTATTACTATTTTACTTTATTTCAATTATTAAACTGTCTTTATCTCAACCCACGAGTTTTCTCACTTTTACCCTTCC